TTTTAGGGTTATTGTGCCCTTTCTCAGTTCTTCTCTGCCTTTTAGGGATTTGGTGCTTTGCTCTGTCCACAGCAACTTAGTTTTGGTTTTTCACAGTGGCATGGATTGGTCTAGGAAGTTAGGACTCTAAGCCAAGAGATGTTTAATCTGTAGGGGTGGTTTGCATCCAAGAATGTACAACCTTTTCATATAACTAAGTCTAGAGCTATTGTCCACAACCCTGGGTCCATGCTGCATCCAACAGAGAATGCAGACCTTCCTGGCACCCATTTCAGGCAAAATCCTTTGGTGAAAACCAAAGACTTTTCCCTGGAGGCCAACCAGGTGGACATAGGCATGGATGGGGCTGATGTGGCTTCGTGGCAACAAGATGACCATGTCCCAGACTCTGCATCTTCTTAGCTTCATGGCAGAGATTATCTGCTGAGCTGGTGTTGGTGACCAATGGGGTGTCTGTTTGTGTCCTTCCCACCCTTAGGAGTTTTACCTCAGAGTGCTGCTCTGATAACAAAAGTAAATCTATTTTTAAGTATTAATTAAAGCTATATATTTTATGTTTACTCAGATTCTTTACTATCTGAGGCCATTTAACAGTCTTACAGAATAGAAAATTTTTTCTTGGTGTCTGAAAACTAGCGAAAGTCCAAAGACTCATCTTAACAGATGGTCTTATTCCTTTCTTACTCAGCCTTTTGAGCTAACACATGGATAGACTCATTTTCCTTCTTCTGATGATAGATTTTTATCAGGGACTGGGTTGCTCCATCCATCCAAGGAGCTTGGGTCTATGGATATGGATACTTTTATGTGACATCTTTTTTCAGCCAACATTTCTTGAGAACACTCACATTTCCCATTATCACTTCTACCTACTTTCCAGTAAGGAATCATCTCTTCCTCTGCCCACTCTTTCAGATCATTTTCTTCCACTTTCTTAGGACTTTTGGAAGGGAAACTTCCCCTTTCCCATGGGAATAAGTAAGTGACCAAGTTTTGAAACAGATGACCACCTTAATAGTAATATAGGTGCCACCCTGTAGCTCTCTTATCCATGCTGTCCATTTTTGTGCAGTAAGAAGATCACATATGTCTCATTCTGGCTCACCTAGCCAGGTCTCTGTTCCCTTTTCCAGCTCCTCTTCCTCTCATTGGTTCAGTGAAACAGGTTTGTGTGGCCAGGAGTCCAGATTCATGGATAGAGATAGGAGGTGGTAGGACAGAGGTGATGGCATACTTCCTCCTTCTCTCAAAACAAACTAGACCCCGGGTTGGCATTCTGTCTTGATTGCCCTGGAAGTCTGATAAGGTTAGTGTCAGCTGTGTTACAACATTCCTTGGGTTGGAAGTAACCCCTGACTGGTGGGTGCTTCACTGTGAATATCTGGTGGGAGTCTGTAGCTTTAGGCTTCCCAGAGTACAGTGACACTTGTAACTGTGCATGACTCTTGTGGGGAAACTATGTCAAGGTGGACCCCGCACCCCTCGTTGTGCGTCTCCTCTCCTTCTTTCTAAGCTATTATGTTGGGGCTGAGAGACTAGCCCTACACTAGGATATGGAATGCAGCAAGGACCCACCTGCAGAGAGGGTAAGCTGGACCTGCCTTGTGGAGGCTGTGGTTCCTGTCCTAAATTCCTCTAAGTGAGTCTAGTGCTAGCTGTGCTGTCTGGTAGTTCTGTGAGTCTAAATGCCTAGTTGAGGCTAAAAATAAATATACCCCTAGAGACACTGCAGGCTCCACCTGATTGCCTCTTTCAGAAAGTCCCTAAAAGGCTGATACTTTACAACCACTTATGCAGTACTGGGTGCTTTCCCTCAACTGGCCAGAACACTACAGAAGAGAAGTGGCCAGTACCTGAACTTCACCCTTAAAACCACCATCATCACCACTGATTATCATCACCATCATCAAAATCACCATCATTTCAACCACCACAAGAATTTGTGCATTTCAACTACTATCCATTACCTTCCACTCTCTTGTTTAGGTCACATATTACTCTCTTTCTGATTTTGTCTCCTAGCATTTTCTTCTATGGACAACCTATCTTAGAAAAAAAATGCTGAACTGAGAGTCCTCCTCTGCTGCCTGAGTCAGCCTAAGACAAATCCTTCAGTATAAGTTTCACCATCTGAAAAATGGAAAAAAAGTTACTGGCCCTGGGAAAATGCACTCAAATGGAATTAGCTCCTGTTATAATCAACAAAATGATAGAACAGTCTAAACTCTTTAAAGGTGAGCTAGTCTAAATATAAATATATCTGACCACTTTTGGACAGCACCAAAAGCAATTACAGTTCCTATGCATCCCCCTCTTGTCCGATGGCTGTCTCCAAGCAGTCACTGGCTTGTCAGAGCAGAATGGATAGATCATGGTGTGGCTTTGCACTCTGGGAAATTATATTCCTAAAAGCTTAGAACGAATGAAAGCAATATTAAAACTCTCAATATTTAGCTTGTTGTGCTGCTTCCAGAAATCGGGTGACTGATGTATGTATGTACATAAGAGAGAGAATTTCAGAGATAGAAGTGGGCTGGGGGGAGGCAGATGGAGAGGAGCCAAGAAAGAGACAGAGGACATGACGGTTCTGTGGAGGCCTACTCAGTGGGAGACACTATGACAGGAGAAACCAGAGTGCCAGGAAGGCCCAAGCAGGAAGGGGTGCTGGGTGCTGGGTGGCTCAGAGCCACAAGGAGCAGGACTGTTTGTGATGGCTCTTCCTACACCTGGGTCCAGGTGCACTCAAAGTCGGAGGTGGCATCTGCAGATGTCCCATAAGAGATACTGAAGACTCCTGCTGTCTGATGCAAGAGGATAATGGAAAGAGCACTGGACCACTCATCAAGAGATCTTGCTTCAAATCACAGCTGAGCAATCTTGAGCATATCACTTCCCTTCTCTGGGCCCCACTTCTCTCAACTTCAAAGCAGGAGTTGTACAGGTTGATCACATGTTCTCTTCTATGTTCACGTCTCTTGGTCTTCAAGTCTGTGGTCCCCTGAATGGCAGGTGGTATCTATGCTCCTCTTTGACTCCCATGCTCTCTCCAGGGGAGGAGCAGTATGCTTCCATGGCCCACCCCCAACCCCCCACCTCTGATCTTGGGTTCACTGATGACTTGCATTGGACCATGGGTTGTGGGCAGAAGACACAGTGTGCCAGTCCTCTTGTGCTTCTGCACCTGCCTAGAAGAGCACACTCAACAGTCCCTACCTCTCCAGCCTGGGCCCCAGCATGAAGAGACACTCAGAGCAGGCTGGAACCCAATGCACAGTCAGAAGCTAAGCCGCGCCAAGCCCAGCTGAGCCACAGGCACCATGCAGACCCATGAATGGGAAATCAATGCTTGTTGTTGTGAGGCACTGCAATTCTGGAGTTGCTTGTTACCATAGCCAAAGCTGACTAATACACCACGTGTTGGGCAAGCATGTCTCACAGAAGCTCACATCAGGGACCAGTCAAAAGCCTGCCTGAAGGAGAATGAAGGGCAGCTGGAGAAGCTCCTACAGGCTCTCCACTGCTGCCCCCCTCATGCCAGAGCCATACACCTCCATATGGAGACACCCCTGGCTTCTGGCAGCAACAACCCACGCCTCAGCAGGGTGGGAAGGGATTTCGGTGGAGGGGGAACTAAATTAAAATGCTCAAAGTCAAATTCCTCCTTATTCACAGTCCTCTCTCTTCCACAGTCCTCCAAAACTGGGCAGTCTGTTTCTTTCACTGTCTAGGTGCCATAAAAGGCCGCCTTAAAAAAGGCTCTGGAACTTAGGGTTGATGTATTGGTTTAGTGAGCAGGGAGAGGCAGCAAAAAGCTTAGACAAGTATCCAAGCACCAGCATCACTAGTCTCTGGCTGCTGTAATCAGCATGCAAGTCTCCAGGCCTCTCTGATTCCTAATTTAAAGAACTCCAAAGAAATCCACATAGCATCCTCCTAGCCAAATCCTAGCTAATAGATGTTTTCTTGCCAAACAGAGCAGGGTAGCATAATTGATATAATATACAAAGTAAAGCACAGAGAAGACCACTGTGGAACTTAAGTGCTGTCAGCATCATGGCCTAGGGGACAACCTGAGAGTTCCAAGTAGGATGTATGACTAGGGCTTAACCATGCTTCATGTCATTCAGAGAAAACCAGGACCTCAGTCATTTGAATGAAGACTCCATAGTTGAAAACCGTAAGCATTTTGGGGGGAAAACAGAAAGACTCAGCCCTCCACCAACCAACCTAACATACTAGAAGAGGAAGGAACATAGATTTGGGGATGGTGTGAAGGAACAGGCAGGAATTAGAGTGGTGGGTTTCCAACTTTTTTCTGAAACATCGAAGACTTTAAAACAAAGTCTTACCTAGAAGGGAAACATATGTAAATGGATAAAAGTGTAAAAACTAAGGGTGAAGCAAGGGTGAAGATTCAGAGCCTCTCTGTGTTGCATTCCACTGCCCACTCCCAAAACTGGTTTCCTTGGAGCTGTGAGTGGAACACCAGGACTACATACAGTTTGAAAAACACTAGACTAGAGAAATCTTGGGTATTGTGATAGGCTCATGGAAAGCTGAGAAGGGGGGCAAGGGGCAGGTACCATCATGGCTGTTTCTGGGCATTTTTCTGTGAAGAGGATGGAATTAAATGTATAATCGTCCCTTGTTATGGCTTGGCAGCCATGGAGTACGCAACAGAGAAGAGGGCTTGCACATCCTGTCTGAGGCAGATAGTCTGACCAACTGACCTCTCTCAAGTCTTCTTAGAGGCGAGCCTCCTTATCCTTATCTTCAACTAGGCAAGAACAGATTTGCTCAGGAAAGATTTAGACCTTCCTTCTCTGGCCTACTTCCTCCCCCAACCCACCTACCCCTCAAGTCTAAGATGTTGGCTCCTCCTGAGCTTGCAAGTCTCAAGCCTGGTGCTTTGGCCTTTAAGAGGGAGGGATCCTGAGAGATTGGTCTAACTCACCACCACGTGGCTCTCCACTTCCCATAGAGACAAGCCCCAGACCCACCTATGCACACCACGTCCATGAATCCGTACATCCCATAGCAGATCTGGAAGAGGAGGTCTTGGCGCTGCCATTTTGCCGAGGGACTGAAGGTCGACCAGATGAGCCAAGAGATACTGGCAATGAGGAAGAGGGAACCCAAGATGGCGGCTGCAATCTGCACCTTCTCAATGACTGTCAGAGAGATGGCCTGCCACTGCAAAGAAGAGAAGGGCGGGTTAGCTGTTGCTGGGACACCCTTACTCCATTTCCATTCCACCCCCATGCTTCTTGCTTCTGCTGCCTCGACCTCTCACCTCTGGTTCAAGATTTAATACAGGGCTTTTTAATTTGTAACACAATGGCTATTTTTACAAGTTTCTGAGTTTTATACTGCACTTTTAATATGGAGGAAACCTATAGCACACCAAATGATCAGAAATTATTGTAGGGAGTGAGTTCTGGGCAGCCATCACAGAGAAGGAAGGCCTATGTAACTGATTATGATACAGACAGAGAAATGGGAAGCAGAAAGTAAAAATGCAAAGCCAGTGTGGGTGGTATTCTAGGGCCCAGAATATTCTTTCCGGAGCAACATTGTTTATTTTCACACTAATAGGTGCTTTTCACACTAATAGGACACAGGCCTTTCTTTTGCTTATTTTCTACAACAACACCTGGCGTGTCATTTAATATAAGTGCTAGGGATTACCAATTTAACAGACAAGCCGAAGACATGGGATGTGGGGGAGAGATAAGAAAAAACAGTATAATTTACTGACTATATATAAACACTGAGATTTCATTTTTTTAACAGAAAAAGCACCATGCTAATAGCAGTATTGATGGATGGATTGAAAACTGGGGTGTGGGTGGGCTTCAACTCTGAAATTCTGTGATTCTATGGCTGGCCTAGGTAGCACAGTCGTAAGTGGACCTGGAGTTGGATTTTAGTTTGGGATTTATTCATGCTCTCACTCAACAAATATGCACTCTGCTAGGTGCTGGAGATAAAGCAGTAAGCAAAAACACGTAAGATTTCCACCCTCGTGGAATTTAAAGTCTAGAGAACACAGATGATCAAATAAATTTATTTACAGCTGCAATTTATCAGGCATAAGAGAAGAAGGTACACGGAACTGTGAGAGCCTTTGATGGGGGATTTGACTTGTCAGAAGAAGCAATGCTTGAGTTGGTGGGAGTTTAGGCAAAGGGAGGAGGGAAGAGTGCTCTAGGCACAGGAGAAGGCATGTGCAAAGGTCCTGTGGCAGAAAAAGCATAGTGAACATGAAAACCTGGAAGAAGGCCAGAGTGGGTGGAACAGAGAAAGCAAAAGGGAGTGTGGGGTGAGACAGCTGGGAAAATAAGAGAAGATCATGTGGAATCTTGAAGAATATGCACAGAATTTTGGCTTTGTCCTAAGAGTAAACATGCTGCTATTGAACACTTTTAACCAGGGAAGTGACAGGATCAGATGTGGGAAGGTAGAGGGCGGGACAGTCTTCTGATTGTAAGGATTTGTGTAAAGCCCTGCAGAGGACACCCCCAGCCGGCTTTTCAGCCCGAACGCCCCAGGAAAAGCAGACAACCTTCCATCAGCCAGTAGTGAGTCCTCGCTATGCATTAAACGGCCTGGATGGAAGCACTGATTCTGGCTCAGGAGGACTGACCAGTGGCCCCGAAGGAATTGTAGCCATTGGAATACATTTCACTTGCTAGTCTAGATGTAGGACATCAGCCTTTACATTTAATTGTGCAGATAGCATTCCATTACAGGTAATTGGGCCTTTAAATTTTCCACTGCTTCCCCTAGCCTAGGGTTACACAAAACAAGGGAGTTTTCCAGAAGATGGCCTGATCCTACAGACTCCTCTCAAACCCTCTACCACAAATGTTTTTTCCAGTGCCTGCCTCTCTGTGAAGAGGGTCCTTAACTGGGCTTTTTGTTTTGACCACTGGGTCATCATCAACCTTCACTTTCTCCTGCTCCAGACTTTAAAACCCCCCAAATGTAGTGGCGGAGAAAGGTCCCCTTAATCCCAAGAGTCACCCTAACCCCTGATCCCCCAAGCTGGCTGTGGAACGTAAGCAGGGCCCCTGACTACTGTTTGAAACATGATGCACAAGGAACAGGGTGGGGTGCTGTGGCTGGGCTCTTCTGTCTGTCCCATGTGAGCCCCCACGAGAGGTGTGGGGAACAGAGCAGCAAAGAGCGAGCAGAGAACAAGAGAGCTCTGAACTCTCGAAGGGAAAGTTGGTGAGGGGAGAAGGGTTCCAAACGAGGTTCTGATCATGGGATCAGGAGACCCTCCCCGTCCTGGCCTCCTGTGCCACAGCACCAGTGAACGGAAGAGCCTGAGGACTGGATGTTTCCTTTCGCACCAGGAAGGGTCCCTGAGCTTCTGGCAGAGCTCTGCCCCAGCCTGTGCAGTGTGGCCTCACAGAAGTCAGTAAGTCATGAGGACTGTCAGTTTCCCCTTTCATAAAAAATGGAAATAATTGGTCCTGCCCATGTCCTAGAGTATTGTGAGGGCTGAGTGAAATAGCTCTTCAATCAGAGCTTTGAACGGGACGAGCTGCCATCATCTCCGCTCTTCGTTATGTTTCAGCAAAAACACAGGGATGCACGTCAAGGTGGGGGACTCCTAAACGCACCCAGCCAACTCTTCGCCTGCACACTGGAGGTGAGAGGAGCCAGACCCCTGTATGCAAGCCTGCCCCATCAGGGCAACCCTGGGTAAATTGTGCCTCCACTGTTTCATCTGTAAATTGGGAATAACAATGCCCACTGCACTGGGTTGGTTTCAGTTTTAAATGAGATAATATGTGTGAACACTTAGTGTGACTGCCCCCCCTCCCGCCCCACAAGCACTAACTAAACATTTATTAATGCAACTGCAGTTCAGGTGGCTCCCTCAGTTAAGCACCGACCCTTGATCTTGGCTCAGGTCTCGGTCTCATGGTTCATGAGATCAAGCCTCGTGTCAGGCTCTATGCTGAGAGTGTGGAGCCTGCTTGGGATTCTCTCTCTCTCTGTCTCTCTCCCTCTCTGCCCCTTCCCTGCTTATGCTCTGTCTCTCTCTAAATAAATAAATAAACTTTAAAAAAATGTTTAAAATTTTAAAAATATATAACTGCAGTTCAGTTGTAGCAGAGAGGGCCTGGGGACCACCCTAAAAATCCTTTCTCAGTGCTGCTTCTGCCACAAACAGAATCTTGCAGAGTATCTCTGGGATAATGTGCCATCACAACCACTGTCTCTCACAACTTTGGATGGGGCATGGACCGTGAGGTGCGTACCCCGAGACCTGGGAGAAATCTCCCCACTCTGACCGCAGAGGTATCCTGCCTGCTCCGTCCTGTCCTGCAGGTGGCTCAGCTGGGCTGTGGGAGCAGAAGTCAGCCCCACTGTGGCTGTCTCACTCCTGGCTGGATCCGAGAAGCCCAGGGACACAAGCGGGACAATCTGGGCCACAGCCACACAACACCGCCGCTAGGCCAAACTATTTCCTCTTTCTGGTGCAATCTGGGAAAGTGCAGTGGCATTTACTGAGCACACACCATGTATTTCCAGGAGCAACAGAATCCAAGGGAGTCAGTCCCCAGTTTTCAGAAACTCACAGTTAAAGACATATTAGTAACTTAAATTAATACATCAGTATCGTCAATGCTGCCATTTGCTCACCATACTTAAAAAGATTAGAATAACCTTTTCTTTCTTTCTTTTTTCTTCCCAGGAAAAAATTATCCCTAAATGGTTTTTCATTCTATGAGTCAAGCTCCCATGCCTGTTTATGAGCCAAGGGGACACTTTGGGGTAGTCCCGTGGATCTGGACTCTGACCCTTTTCTAAGGCTTGAGTGAGCTGAGAAGGAAGAAGAGAGTTAATACACCCCAGAGGGCATGGAATCAGCAGTCTCATGACACTGCTATTTTAAGACACTTCAAGATTTGAAATGAATGATTAAAGATGGAACCAGCACAGCGAGAGGCATCTCTTATTCTGACCCCTCCATATACCATCAGGATGGCTGAGGTGCCTGGGAGTCTTAGGGCCTCCTTCCAGAAACGATGCCCCCTGCTGGCCCACATGCATGCAGTAGCTCACACGCACGCACGCGCACGCACGCACGCACGCACGCACACACGCACGCACGCACACACACTCATTCCTGACAGTGCCTCATGTACGACTACATTGTGTTTAAAATAAAACGCGCCAGACGGTGCAGCTCCAGGTTGCTGGCTCACCCTCCCTGCAAAGACCCCACCCCCACAGTCACCCCGAACCACCGCCCTCCTGGGCTCGCAGAATCGACTCTGCCCCCTCCCCCAGAGAAAGGAGAAAGGAAACAGCTAGGTCGGGCCCCTGAAGCTCCCTTCCTCACTGGCATGCTGGCTGATTGTGTGGCAGCTTCATTGGCTGACCATGCACATGTAGAGGCATTTCCAGAAGCAAAGTGCTCTCTGTGCGTGTGGGTGCGCCTCGCAGGGACCGCTGTTGGGTTTGGAGGATTTTCGAGGCAGGGCAGGGCCCGCCAGCAGCTCCGGACAGGGCAGGCGGATGGGAGACAACAGGGTGCGGGTGCGGCCCGGTCCGAATCCCTGCGGCGGGCCCCACCCGGCCTGGCCCTCTCTGCCCCTCAGGGTCGCCCCTTCCCAGTCCTCCCTTTTCCTTCTGCCTTCCATTCTGTTTCTCGCCACCTCCCTCTCCTGTCTCTTCTCCATTTCCCCCTGTCCCTTGTCACTAGGAGTGTGGTGGTCCGTGGACCAGCGGCATCAGCATCACCCCTGGGTTGTTAGACATGCAGAATCTCGGGCTCCGCCCCAGACTCCTGAGTCACAGTCTGCTTTTTGTTTTTTTTTTTTA